TTTCAGACTCTCCTGAGTGCTAAGCTCCTAAACTTTTAGGCTGGCACTGGAGGAATAAGGAAGAGAACCCTCGAATAAAAAACGCTCCCATATTTGCCATTCGGCTATGGTAAGATGATGAGGGACCGAGAGCTGAACTTTTTGGTCTAGGATGGGATAAAGCCGTCTGAAATAAAGATTATCGTTTGATCAGCAGATGAGCTGCAAAGAAGGGTCAAAAAACCTTGGATAAATTTCCGTTTTGCCCAATATTTGACCCTCATCACCCCTGCCATTAAGTTTGTGGATGTTTTCGCCCATTACTCTGGCTATAAAGCTGTGACCGAAAAACTCTTCTGTGCCCGTGCGCATGAACTTGCTCCCCATCGCTTTTATTGGTGCCCTTTCGGCAGGTTCTCAGGAAGGCGTTCCCCATCGCTGGTTGATTAGTTGGCTTCATTAGCCTATGTGCCCAAATGGAGTCTCTAGGGAATTTCGTGGAAGTGCGGCAGCCTTAGATGAAGCCTTATCTCACTTTCTATGGATCAGAAATTGTTCTCCTAGGTGACTGGTGGTTACGGTACTCATAATTATCCCAGTTCCTATGAAACCTTCGATAAATCTATTAGAAGCCTTAGACTAAACCCTACCTACTTGCACTCTCAGGTGGATTCTACAAGCCCTTTTAAGTAGAAAAGTAAGGGCTGCGCTATTTGTGACTCCCCTAGCTCCTAAAAATCTTCTCGGAGACTCCTGAAGCTCGCGATCGTTAACGAAACCGTCGCTCCCTCGGTTGACCCATGCCCATGGTTGGGTCAATCATGGGGGAGTCCCATCTTTGATTCCTTCTGGGTAGTAGCCCTATCAATCTTCTAATCAAACAGCAAAACAGGTTGCCCAGTGATCGAATTATGAAACTGCGTCGGCTGCCTCCTTGGGGTTTTATCACGGTACTGGCTGGACCTGTACTTGATGACTACGACTTTTGACATGCAAATGCCACTATTATGTTTGTCTTTTGAAGGGTAGAAATTCGTGCTGTAAGGCAGTCGGGCCAGCACCTGAGGGGGGGGTGGGAATCAGCCCTCGTAGGAGTCATAGCGATCAGCTTTTCAGTTTCGGTAGCAACCTTTGTTAAAAAAAACATGGAAAGCTGCCCGTATATGGGTGGAGTTGGTGTAGAGGCAAGTGGCGCCGCTTACCACGTGTACGATCCTGGCCTCAACCACGGATCAAAACCCACTTACACATGCCTCACAACAATGTCTTCCTAGGCTTCAGGGGCGATTACGTGGTTCAGAATTCGCCTGGTAAAATAAACCACTTCAACAAGTATTTGTATAGCATTCAGATGCCTTGGCAATTTTGAATAGAAGTTAGGATGCGTGGGCGTATCAGAGGATGATGACTGGGACCAATTAAAGGCCGTTTTTATGGTCGAAAGAAAGCGCTTTGCGTCGTGGGCGGCGAACATTTCGAATAACAGGGCGACAAAGAATAGTGTGTCGAAGTATGAGTGAAGGAATGAAAGGATTAAACCTGGAGAGTCAGGAGGTAAGCAAACCAGCCCTTTTGGCGTTTCGGCTGGGACCGTATGCTGAATGTTGGGGAGGGGATGGGGTCCCCAACGGTCGACGGTTTACTTCAACTCGGTTGGTACGATAGGAGAGTACTGACGCAAGTGGTGCAGCTGGTCCAGCAGCTCCGCCAGAAGGGCTGGTTTGCTCACCCCAGGACTAAGCCTTGGAGAGGGGACGGACCCGTCCTCTCTTTAAGGCTTAGTTCTGAGGTAAGCACCAAATTGTGGCGGTTCTAAGGACCGAGTTGAAGTGGTCCGTCCACCGTCGGGGACTCCATCCCCTCCCCAACATTCAGCATACGGTCCCAGCCGAAGCGCCAAAAGGGCTGGTTTGCTTACGTCGTCAATTAGTCAGCTGCGTCCATGAAAACGGAAGTGCGACCGCGTGCGACACGCGAACTCCCTCCCCCCCCCCCCCCGAGTGTCTTTTCGCGAAACTGAGCCTTTTGTTGCACTCAGCCCCTGCTGAGAACAGTAACTCGGCCACAGATCCCTAATCAGTCCATATCAATAGTTCAAGGGAAGTGCTACTAAATAATCTAAACGCCTAAGCAGGTCATAATGGGCTTCAAAAACCAGGCGGCCTACTAAAATCTATAGGGCGTGCGTCCGTAATAGTATACCCGATGTCATAGCTTGTGACCATGACATTTCATTGCCTGGACAGCTAGTTGGTGGGGGGCCGATGGCAGTAATGCCGATCGACGTCAACAGATGCCGTTTGAGCACGAAATCCTCGTCATACGAGCATTTTGGATTGCGCCACGCATTTCATTCTAATCTAGTATCTCAGAGGTGATTGAATGCGTAGCTGGCTGATGCATTAAAACCAGGAACGCATTTCTGCTGCTCAGACAAGTTTATTACCGACCATGCGATACAAGAGGGAGGCATGGCTTGCCCATCAGAAACTCCATCCGCTGACCATGTGAGCAGTAACACCGCTCTTCACCACTGCGACATCACTGCTTATGTTATCACAGTGTTTCTTCAAAGCTTTATTAAAATAACTATACAAAAAATCAAAAGTTCAAATGGAAACATAGCAAGAAAGCACACAGGGTATATACAGACACAACGATGTGTGCTGACAAGAACCGTAATAAGAAACAATCGCGAAATCTATGAGGATTGGGACTACCTCAAACGACCAAGACATCTTCAAGCAGAATCGCTGTAGTAACAAGAGCCTCAGCCTCCCGTGGGTGGGCAAATACAACTTGCTTCCCTCTGAGCGACGTGCCGTGATTGCAGACTTAATGGCACATCACGCGATGTTGGAAACATCTAGAAGCAGGCATGGGGCCAACTTTTTGAGGCCTTGACCATGTGTGTAACTTATCTACAATCTGGCGGTCTCCAAAGGAGGCAGTATACATTTGCGCGGCCACAGAGAGACTGAGCTCCTACCTACGTAGATTGAATCGTGACCAAGTAGAGTTTGTCGATATTCGAAAGCAATATGTCTAATGAGATCTGTGAAGAAAAATCAAACTCGTAGAAATCTTATAAACAAAGACTGAAGGCGATGAGCATTGGGAAAAAGTCATGCATTGTACGAAAAGAGAACCGCACTATACACATTTCTAACCGATTAATTTAACCGTCGTCAGTTCCTACCTAAAGACCAGGAGGCGTACATGTCTAGCCGCGAGCGGTCGCATCGCGGTGGCGTGACGCACTCGGACGCGCGCGGCATTACGGCCTTGCTAGTCTGGTAGGAAACAAAGTATAATAATACCCGTGATGAGCGATGAAACTCTTATAAGTGAAGAGAATCTCAGACAATCTGCGTCCCAGCGTTGGAAGCAGAAGTCGTCGTCGGTTTCGGGGATGGCGAAGATGGGGCAAGGGCTGCCTCGAGGGCGACCACGTCAAGCATAACCGGCTTCTGAAGTCGTTCCAATGCCTGCGCATATGTTGGCGGAGGAACATCGTCGGCGATCACCTGAAAAGAATTAGGATTTTTGATGATGTATGCTTACCCAAGGGTAACCCCGAAAGGTAAGGACTGACCTGGTTATAACTTGGAGGTGGCTTACTGTAGGCGCGTAGCTTCATCTCTTTCATAACACCGAATGTGGCGCTGAACATCGCATGAATTTCCCAAATGAATAGGCAGACGGAAATCAGCAGCCAGAGAAAATGAAACACTGAAGCCGAGTCGTTCGATTCAGCCTCTTGCAGACCGTGGAACAGAGCCGCTGACGATAGCGACACCTTAAAATGAGAGGCTATCAGATCCAATCACTTTCACAAATCTCAACAGAAATTTTTTGCATGGCGCATTCCAAGAGATACTCTGGGTCATTGCCTATATAAACAGTCGTTTGCCTGAATTTTGCGTGCACTGTCAACCACGAACCAAAAACACGCCAAGCTTGGACCAGGACTGACGCAAAAGATTGGGCGCATTCATGACTTTACAGGATGTGTTGATAAGAGAGATTATCGATTGATAAGCTAGTGTTAAACCAAATTTATGGTGAATAGAACAAGAAAATAACAGTCAAAAAGCTGATCAAATAAAGGGTAAAAGAGAAATAAAGGAAATAAAGGAAAAAGGAAGTGATTGAAAAAAGAAGTGGAAGTAGTGAAAACCTGACAAATACGGATGAAAATTGAAAAATTCAATAAGAAAATCGATTAAATAACGTCTACGCAGAGTACGCTAACCTTTCTGTGCCAATCTAGGACCTATCTTGACGCATTTCAGGACCACTGAGTCATTTAGGTTGTCGGTATAATTTATGGTCTCGGCGAGGATGGTTCTATGTATTTTGCTTTTGTACTATGAGAGATTAAGGGCAAAACGCTTGAAATTTCTTAGTCCCTTGGGATGCGCCACACATAAGTAATGAGTTCAGGATGGCACTTGGAAGAAAACTCGTCAACCTCAAAGTCTAGGTCTCCTGCTAGACGTCTACCGTCGCGTTGCTTTGCTTTTTTGAAATTTGGTTACCCCTTGCCCGTTATCACCCGGTGGGGGGGGGGTCCTGAAAACCGAATCCGCCAAATTCCGCATTGCTGCCCAAGAGTTGTTTGTAACTAGCCACTGTGACACATATTCAGGCTCTTCAATTCTCCAAGTCGTGTAGGGGGGATGTAGGGTATGTGTGACTGCTAAAGAAGCAATATTTCGGAAATTTCTTCAAATTTCGTAAAAATTCTTCCAGCTTCCCAAGAATCTACTCCCATGTGACGGTCGTTGCGGTCTTCTCCTCACGGAAGAATCTTCCCAGTACGTTCCCGTTGCCCAAGAGAGCGCTGTTCCAGAGAGAGAGCGACGTCAGGTTTTAACTTAGGGAATCGTATGGGCTTCACGTAGCTCTAGCCCGACGGGATATCGCCCGACCGCCGCCCAAATCCCGCTAATCACCGCGAAGTTGCCCCCCCATGCAACGGATCTCTTCAAGCTTTCTTCAGGAATTCGGCGGATCCCCTCCCTTTCCTTCTGCTCGGTTTCCCATGTGCTGTAAAGGGGCTCCCTCACTTGATGTGCCCTAACCCAGGAGACCCACGTTTTCTCGAAGTGCGCGACCTACTCAAGGGTCCCAAGATACTCCCCCCCCCCCCCCTTCCAACGCATACTTTGCATAAGAACTCGCAACCGGACGTAAGCCTTCGCCCACGTCCAAATAGTTATTGGCAGCTCTGAAAGAGGTAACTGGTCGCATACCGCCGTTTAGGTTAATAAACATAAAACTGCGGTGGGGGGGGAAATAAATGCAGATCGAACTGAAAGTGACAGCGCACACGGCTCGACCACGCTTTAGCGATAGCATTCGTTGTGAGAAGATAATCGGTTTTAACGAGAAGCCATTCCATACATAGCCAGGTTGGACAAGCAATTCGACGCGTATTCAGCATGAATACCGGAGACTGACAGGAAGTGAATCAAAGGGCCGAGATGCCTCCAAACGAGACGAATGAATGGAGTTGCCAAAAGTTCAACATAATCAAGCAAGCCAATGGCCAATTCGGTCTTCAAAAGAAACATGTATTTGCATTGATTTCACTTTGAAATATATATGTACAGAATAAATAATAATAACTATGTAATGCACATCAGCACAACGTCATTTTTTAATTATCAATAGGGCCACAAAGGCGCTCATGTCGTTGGGAGGGGCATTCAAGTGAGAAAGCAGTTACATGTGATTGACTGACGCGCATAGGGAAGGGGAAGGGAGGATGGAGCAATTTTTGTTTCCGCTGGCGCTCTCAAGCCCTCCTTCTGGGTTTACCCATGTCCCATGCTAACTTCATCCAACGCACATTCCCACCTACCATATCAAAAATTAAATTCCTTAGGCCTTACAAATAAGCCAGCAGTTCTAAAATAAAGCTGAAATTATGTACAAAATTATCTTTTGATCAAAAAGTCAAGTAAATAAGCAAAGATTAATAGCGTTTGGCGCCCTGGTTCTGGAAAGTGATTGATTGGGTCTCTGAAATGACGTGACACAAACGGCTCTTGTTTTCTTCGAATTTAAAGTTTACTTTTTAAACCTAACCCCACTTTTCTTCATGATCATTCATTCATTACTTCATTCATCTTTACTCAACAAATCTTCCTGCAGTAATGACGATTCCTCAATTACCCTGTGTTTCGATAGCTTCATCAAGTGGCCTAAACCCCGTGTGGCTAAAAGGCAGCATGAACCAACGGATGTGGATAACTGTCCGATCCGTACCGAAAGTGCCCCTCGTCTAGGCCTCAAGGCCTCCACCGCTTCCCCTACCCCTGTTGGAATCGTTACCACTATGACCTCTCTTGAGCATCGTTACTTCAGGATCGCCACCTTGGTTAGTGGTGTGAGTAATTTTGGCTGCCTTGGACCATTCCTTCCTTCCTTTTTTTTTTTGGTAATTACATTGAGTTTTCACATTTCACATGAACGAATAAATATGAAAATAAATAAATAAATAGATAAATAAATAAGATAAATAAATAAATAAATAAATAAATAAATAAATAAATAAATAAATAAATAAATAAATAAATAAATAAATAAATAAATAAATAAATAAATAAATAATAATATAAATAAATAAATAAATAAATAAATAAATAAATAAATAAATAGGTGAATCATATAAACAACAAATTTCTAAATGAAGAAGAACGGAATTTCAAAAGCACCTTATGGTTGGGACAGCGTACCCGCCCCTAGATGCCGTTTTTTAAAGCATGTCAGCGGTGGAGGCAAGCGCGCCCTCGGGGAATGCTCTCCAAAACTCTGCATGCTTTTAGATGCTTCCCCTATTTTTGACCACGAGAGTTGTGTCATCGACCAGAATAGGGACTCAGAGTTTTGAGGACCCATCCCGCAGTCGGGACATGGTGCACCCGGCCCCTGGGTATCTGAAAAGTCTTATGACGATATTTGGCCGGTAAATTCTTGTATCGATGAAATGAAGCGCGCGATAGAGGCGTCAGATATATATTAGGTTGTCTCATAAATAGTGTCGCTTTTTTTCAACCAAAAAATTTTCATCCAAATCCTCATGCTTTTACATCGAATCATATACCATTCGAAAGAGAATTGTCTGCTCTACAAAATATCGTGTTCTTCTTCCATCTATGTTCCATGGTTTTCAAATTTTAGGCCTGCGAAATGGGAGGTCCCGCCAAAAATTGACCAAACCGACAACTAGCTCTAACTTTATTTCCCTTCGGAGAAATCAATCAATGATGTACCCTCTACTTACTCATGACCTCTTCTGAACATTCCACCCTTAGGTTGCCGAAAAAGGTTTGCCCTGTTTCTTTTCGAATTGGCCGACCGATAAGCCATGGCAATTTTCAAATTGAAATTCTTCCTCTGAAACGCTATTGTTTTATATCAACTGGTGTATCTTTTGTGAGCACTTCTTCTGCTCTATTCGCTCATTTGTTTTGTTTTGATGTTTGTTAGGAATTAGCTCGAATTTTAGGGTTTAGGAGTAAGGTGCTTTATCCACGAAAGTGACCGCATTTCTTTGAAAAAAATTATCCTTGAGAAGATGAGAAAATCAACCAGGCGTACATTCCTAACTTAGTCATGACTTGTTCTTAAATTCTACTAGTTTTTCAATGTCTCGGCTGTAAAAAAATTTCGACCTCGATCTCAGGTAATGGTGCTCAACCGTCGAGTTCTGGTTGAAAAACCGGGTCTGGAAATGGAATGATGCGACTTGTTGGGAAACCTAATAGTGTAATGTTTAGAAGAGGTCATGCATAAGTAGAGGGTACATCATTGATTGATTTCTCCCAAGGGAAATAAAGTTAGAGCTAGTTGTCGGTTTGGTCAATTTTTGTCGGCGGGACCTCCCATTTCGCAGGCCTAAAATTTGAAAACCATGGAACATAGATGGAAGAAGAACACGATTTTGTAGAGCAGACAATTCTCTTTCGAATGGTATATGACTCGATGTAAAAGCATGGGGATTTAGATCAAAATTTTTTGGTTGAAAAAAAGCGACACTATTTATGAGACAACCTAATACATCCAGAGAGATCACGTGGCATCAAGCCTTGCCTCATTAGAGGGCCAGTTGTTTGGTAACAGCCCGATATGGAAGCTTAAAGGCAGTGTCACTAGCATAGACCAAAAGCAGATATAATAATTTGAAGCACCAGAGAACCGCCAACTTGCCTACACGATTTTGAAATGAAGTAGTATGCACGGCGCATTCCAGGCAACCTTTTAGACGCTCTTTTTTGTGCGTCAGACTTACCTAGCAGCCACCCGAACCCTTCGAGCCTCCGCGAAGAGGAAGTGCCCTTCATGGGTAGCGTCAATTCCATTAGCACTATTGGCAATTGCTTTTTAACATGCGTCAATTTTCACCCAGTTGTGAGCCGCAAGTACGTCAATGCCGGTTCCAAAAGTGCGTTTCACACGTGCTGCCATTCATCAGCATCGGGCAGTTCTTTTGCCAATGCGTACCGTCCATAAGAAAAGACGACACAGCAACAGTCAAACACCTGCTGGCTCCACGAAGGACGGGTTGAAATTTCCACCCCGCGCCTAACGAATAGCAAATTTTTGAGGAGAAAAATGGAGACTGTAAGGACGGAATCCCTTCGAACGCCAAAGCATGGCTGATGCAATGGCGCATGCCAAGTGTTCTGATCATGACACACAACTTTGGGTAGTTGTAGCGCATAGTAGAAACTGGTCGCACGCGCCGCGACCGCGCGCGTCCAAGGTGGACTATTCTAAGCCCGCTGGCTACAATGAACAGTTTTTGGATGGAGAAGTAGTCTGAATAGAATGCTAAGATGCCGATCTATTATCTATTTTTCTCGAACTTTGTCGCAAT